CAAAATGTTGGTCAGATATCATTCCTTGAGCAATTTTGCAACCTCATTTTTAAGAAGAGAGGCAAAGTGGCAGTTGAGTAAATGTATAAAGTGAATGAAAACTGAAAAAGAGGAAAGATACTGGCAGCAAACATGATTTAATTCTGTTACAGGTTGTTGGATGATGTGTTTAATGGGGCTCAGATAAACTTTTCACATTTCACTTCACTAACAGAGAGACTCCTCAAAATCCTTCTACTTGTTATATCTGCTCCCAAAACTGCAATAAACATAATTTTCTGTGGATTCACATTCTGAAGTTAGTCCACCTTTTGTTAAAAGACTGAGAACATTCCTGCTGTCGTTAAGCCAATCTTGCATTATGAAAAACTTGTTTAAAATGTGGTTCTTGATTTTCTATTGCAGTGTAAACCAGATCAGCCTCTTTGTAATTATTGTGTTTTCATCACATTCCTTCTAATTTCAGTGCAGATTCTCTGAAGGCACTAATAACCTTTCACCGTGCAATTATCTGGTAAAAAACAAACAAACATATATAGCAGGGTGGGCAAAGCTGAAGGAGACAATAGGGGTGAAGGTCTCTTTAGTCTACCCTGAAATTGCTTTATGGCTCTGTTTTTTTACAGAAGGACAGGGTTAAGGGTCAAAGCTCAGCCAGGATACGTGAAGAGAGATTGTGGGAAACTGAGAACACGAGTTGTGCACAAGGAAATGATGCATACTTCAAAGCCATATCAACGGCAAAGTGTAAAAGATTAATTTTAATAGACTTGACAGTAAAAACTCAATGCTGGGAAGACTCTTTGACTTCTGATTCACCGACTGAATGACCCTGATTTTTATTGGAGCCATAAGGGTAAAATGTAATCTTAGAGGCCGTAAAAACCAAGATTAGATGTTGGGTGATATTTTACTTACCCCCTATTCAGTGTGGGTGGTGTTATCACATGAGTACTTACATATAAAACATGTAATAAAATGATTTAGATTCACGTAGTCAGCGACAATTGGCCAAAAGAGGGCAGCATTATTTCATATGATTGAAACTTTTGTCACACTGGTGGTTTGTCACTTGTGATAATGCAGACTATGTATAAGCAGCAGACTGTAACAGTAAGTTTGCAAATTTAAAGCCCATTTAACAAACAAGGGAAGGCCGAGGGAAGGTAAGTTTTGATTGTCATCTGCATGTAATCAAACCAGGAAAAAATATCTTTAGTTTTGTCTCATATGATAGCAGATGTCAGCAGAAAACTGTATTATGAGTTCTGTGGTGAAAATCTCATGGCCTCGCTCTGTGCCGTCAGCTGTGTTGTTCCTGCGGGTCTCACCAGCTGTAACAGCATCTCCATATGGAAAAACTCTGGCTTCCAGTGGAGCTGCTGTTATCTGTGGAGGGACACCTCTTGTCATCGAAACACTGCCGGGGCTTTCTGTAGCTTGTGTACAGTGACACTTTCTATTTGTTGTTTTTCCATTTGGATTCATTTTTCATGCTTGTTTCTGTGCAGGTTGCGTTTTATAAAAAATAAAATAATAATAAAAAATAAAAAATAAAACTAATCTTATAAGTCCAGTTTAATTGTCTGTCTGCTTCTTTATCACACTGTAAAACACAGATTAAGTTGAAGGACACCTCACTTGCAATACTTTTGAAACCAAAACTAAACCTACATGTGAATGCAAAAGCAGCATTTCCAGTAAATGGTAAGAAGTGGCTGGGACTTTCTCCATCATATGAGTGAAGAAATAAGTAATTTAATATTTTATTTCATAAGTGCCATGTAACCAGAAGTCCCCAACTTACATGGGTTTACAAGCAAATACTAACATTACAACAGGCTGAAAAGTGTTAGTTTAAACACAGTCTAAAAGCTAAGAAAAATAACTGGACCTCAGAAACACACAATATTAATAACGCAAAGGGTTGTTGGGTTTCTCGCTACTATTTTGTAAGGTCTTCATCTTACTATGTGTCGTTCCTTGAGATGACACATGTTGTGACCTTGAATTGACTTCAAAGTAAAACCAAAACTAAAAAGAAACGTTTTAATGTGACTTTGTCTGTCTGCAATTCAATAGAGCCATTTGAAATGAAAAACAAAATAAAATAAAAATGTGAGCATAACATTTTTATTAATGGCAAATGTCATTGGGAGTTTCACTTTCATGATAAGCGAATGAATCAGTGTGTGCATGCTTTCATTTGAGTGCACATAGGCTCATGCAATGTTTTTTAGCAGGCAGGGGATGACTCAATACGAAAACTCCCTGCTCCTACACCACCCAAACAGACGAGATGATGAGTTAACAAGGGAAATTTATTTTGGTCATTTGGCTAACAAGACAGATGGTATCCACCATCACCCCCCTAAATTCATCCACTGGCTACTCTCACAAAAATGGTTCTTCAATTGCTCTTCAGAAAGCTTTCTCCTTTTTTTTTTCTTTTTTTTTTTTTAAACGTCTTTGTAACATCGTTAATGTGCCTCAAACAAGCTACTTTGTGATGGTTCTTTGAGGCACCTTTGGGACTTTTTTTGTGCTAAAAGGTTCTTTGCGGAACTGAAAATGTTTTTTCTATGGCATCACTGTAGAGAACTATTTTTGGCTGCAGTTAGCACCTTTACATTTATGAGTGTACGTGTAAAAGGAGATGTGACAAGTTTAAGACACCACACGTTCACAGTGGCACAATGACACCATTTAAAAAATACAGGATGTGTTAGCAGAGACTAAAAACTAAAACATATAAAATGCTTGTGGTACTATAACAAAAGCTAAATTGTGTGTGTTACTCTGTTGATGGCCACAAAACAAAGGAACAGGTTCAAAATAGAAACTCAAATGTAAAAAAAAATGTGACAAATTCCACAATATTCTTGAGCAAAATAGAAATGAAACTAAAAACAAATGCTTGTTTTTGGTATGGGCAAATAAATAAATATAAATTAATGCATTGTTGAATTTGAATGTCCCACACTATGACCTTTTTTTTAAAACAAAACAAAACAAAACAAATTATTATTATATCATTTACACATGTCCCCAGAGTATGTCTCTCAATTTTTCAGCTCAAAAATACTGCAACAATGGTTTTGTTATCACCATGACTGTATAAGTGCTGCTTTTAGTGCTGTTCTCAACATGTTGTTTCAGTGTCTGTAGCTCTGAAAACCACTGACCTGGTTTCTCCCTAAGCGGTCATTTTGTGTGTAGTTACAGTTGAATTCACAGCTGCTGTTTTCAATTTGTGTTTGGTGAGTTTGTCAGACAACATTGCGGTTCCAAAATAAGTATTTTAGTGTTGCAGAGCAGCAGCTTGGAAACTGATCTAAAGCAATTGTTGGTTAACAGGTAACCTTAATGGGCTGCATTTCGGTCACTTTTCACATTTCAAATATGTAAATATAGCATCAGTACTTGCATCAAAACGTAGCATATGTAGGCACAGAGAGCAGGAACGAAGCAAACAGATGTAAACACAGGCTGAGTTTAGGCTTCACTACAGCACAACATGCACCATATAAAAACAGTAACCCACCCAGTCTTTGTTTAGTAGTTTTTAAAGTTTCCACCCTCTCTAAATGCTTCTAAGCTTTTCCAGGATCAGCATAGTTTTCACCTGTTGGCTTATGATCAAAGCTAATGGCAACGTAAGCCACATTAGCACTGACACTAAGCATATGACTGTTGTGGTGACATTACCATCAAAAATAAAAGCAATCTTCAGTTTGTCATATGCTAGGACTACATGAAAACTCTTGTGTTCACTCTTGCAGCTAACAGCAGAACATTCGGTGTGTTTCGTTCACGACTGAGACGTTGAAAGAGCAGCTTTAGAAAGAAAAATAAACCTAGTGAACTTCATGTCAGCTGCTCTTTTTGAATAGTTCACCTTGAAGTGGCAGGTAGTGAGGGGGCACGATTACACAAGGTATTTGTTGGTTAGGTGTGAGGTAGCACTTGGGTCACATTCCTACTTGCTTGACTGTGACTGTGAGGCTAAATAAGATGTGGGGAGGACTTGAGGAATGGCAGAAGGGAAACGTCTTCGTCTCTTAACAGCTTAGTTTGCACCTCAAAGTTTAACAGCAACCACAAAACACAATAACAACGAATTTCCACCTAATGGGAGATTTAAAGTGGCATCACTGAGGCCTTTAATGTAAAATGACCTTTTCAGTAGAAATATGAGGGAGAAAGAAGGCAGACCTCAGAAAGACGAAATTACACATTGATTTTTGTAGAGATTCTACGAAAAACTAAATAAGTGTGTGTTACCAAATTTTAATTCCACATCTCAGACAAACAAATAAGTTTTGCGTGTGTGTGTTTTTAGGCGAATGTTGTACAGTCGTCCTCAAATTTATTCACACCCTCCCATTAAAGAAGGAAAAGTACAGGTGTCATTGAAATAAGTTGAAATTGACAAAAGTAATAATAAATAACGATTTAATGAACATCATGACATTGCTTTTGAATTGTGGTTCAACAGAAATATATAAAAAAAACAACAACAGCAACAAAAAAAAACAACAACAACAACCAAAGAAGCATGATGGGACCCGTAAACTAGTATTTGGATGAACAACCCTTTGAAATGACTGCAATCAAGTGTTTTCTGTAACTCTCAATCAGACTTCTGCACCTGTTGATAGCAAAGTCCTCTACTTTGTCCGGGACAGTTTTTTTTTTTTCAATTATTCCTTTCAACTACAATTCAAAAGCAATGTCTTATTTCACTAATTTAGCAATTTATTTATTTATTATTACTTTTTTCAGTTTCCAGTTTTTTGAGTGACTGTATTTTGCCTTTTCTTTGATGGAAGGGTATGAATAAATGTGACTTTAAATGTCAGACAGGCCGGTCCACACTCCAACCAGCAGGGGGCGGTGAAACCAACCCCCAAACGAGAAGACGAAGAAGAACACTGACAGCCGGTTGCTGAACGACAGTCGACCGTTAAGAGCTTAAAACACAGACTGTATTTGGTTTTAGTGTTTTTTCTGCTACCACCGTGTAGTATTAGACGGTATATACCTGCTCAGAGCTCGGCGTTAGCGTTGGAGTGTGTGAGGCTGCCCTACATTAGCCAGAGTCCGCTGAATAAGGAGTCCTCCCTGAATGACTCGTAGTGCGTGGCTACTGGTTAGCTAGCGAAGAGGAGGGAGGAGACAAAAACTTCCAAGACCTCGCCCAGTCGTTGCTTCATTCCAGCAGGCAGCTACTCTCTCGGCGGTGTGAGAGACACACACCACCTAAACCAGATAATTATTCAAGGGGCGACTGACACAGCTGTGTCAACTAAGGGCGAAAAATCAGTCACCATGTTCAAGAAAAGCTCAAGGAAGGACCCCGAGCTGTTTCAGAACGTCTCGGAGGGGCTGCGGCGGCTCTACCGGACCAAGCTGTTCCCGCTGGAGGACACGTATCGATTCCACGACTTCCACTCCCCTGCACTCGAAGATGCCGACTTCGACAACAAGCCCATGGTCCTCCTGGTGGGTCAGTACTCTACCGGGAAAACCACGTTCATCCGCCACCTCATGGAGCAGGACTTCCCCGGTATGCGGATTGGCCCCGAGCCGACCACAGACTCTTTCATCGCGGTGATGCACGGTGAACAGGACGGGGTGATACCGGGCAATGCCCTGGTTGTCGACCCCAAGAAGCCCTTCCGCAAACTCAACGCTTTTGGGAACGCGTTTCTCAACAGGTAAAGCCAGTGCCAACTTCCGGTAGACCTCACTAAAGAGCTTAGACTGAGCAATGTGAAAAATGTAGTACCCTAGGATTGTAGAAAATGAGCCCTTAAAGCCTAGAGTTGGTTCATAATTTGTGAATGAAATGACTACATGTCATGTCGGTGTTATGCTTATCTTGAGCTGTCATTAGTTAATACAGCTGTGTGTGAAGAAACTTGTCATAACAGCGCATCACCTGGGATTTAAATACCCTCCCTACAAGTCCTTGCACGTACCAAACTTTTTCAAGGTAGACTCACAGTATGCTGTTGCACAATCTTTCCAGCAGAGCCAAGTGTGTGTGAGAGTTTTCCCTCTTTCATCATCTTAGGAGAATGCGGGTGTTTGGTGTCAATAGCCAGGTGGCATATCCAGCCTGTGTATAGCAAAGCAAAAGGACAGAGAGGTGCTTTCCAGCATGTTATCCCATTAACAAGAAGTCCTTTCCCTTTCACTTTGCATCAGATCCTTCCAGTTAACATAGTGTCATACCCCTCCTCAGGTCCGTAAAGCACCTGGCAGAGTCACTCTTGACAGATCACTTTGTCCCAATGTCACAGCGCGGCCCCTTGAACATGGAAATAGTTGTAAGCGATGTTGCCAGGCAACACGCTGACCTTGTTCTGTCCCCGGATGTCGGTACCATGAGTTCCACATCCCCAGGCCATATAACTGTTACCACATCAGTACATATTAACAAGCCAACTCCCTTATTCACTACCTTTGGAAATCTTATCACAAAGGGTTAAAGGTTTTTGTATCTATCTTATAGTATTGTAATATATTCATGGCACCAGAGTGGGTGTTGATGAGTCAGCAGGTGTTTCGCTGATGTGTTTAGACATTTTAGCTTGCCGGAGTTTGACCAATGTGATTGATCATCCAGTTATAACAGATGTTCTTAGGAAATTTCCAGAGCACGATAATGAATTACACTTATGTCTGCTATTCAGCCTCATGTGCAGCTCTGACGCAACAAGGCAGAAGCTCATGTGACTCAGAAGTATTCAGCAGGTGGGGCTTTCACCAGTTAATGCAACATAAAAGTGGAAAAAATGTGGAAATTATAGAAAACAGCAAAATAAAAGCAAAAGTGAAAGTGACCTAAATGAATAGTAGAGAAAAGAACTTGGCTGGCTTGGTGTGTTTTTGCAAAAAGAAACGAGAGCCAAGGACAATGGAAAGTCTCAAAGTGTTTTATTGAAATGTGTAAGGAGCTCCTCACAGTCCAGCTCAGAGAGCAAGGTGCCATGAGTCATAGCCGGCATGACAGTGCCTGGTGAAACCTGGAGCATCCAAATCCAGCCTACTGTGTGTGGATTTGTGATGACATCAGATGTTAATCATCTGATTGTTGATGCCGTCACTTCCTGTAGAGGATGGGAAATGTCTCCTTCTCTCCCCGGTTGCAGTGTGGTGTCATCCTGTGCAGGAATCACCAGCCAAACAGATGGTCAAATAATGCACAAACAAATGACTAACTTGTTAACTGTCCTGAGCTTAATCTGTTATTAGCTTCAGATTATCAAGTGGGTTGTGTTGCCATATGTTGTCGTAATACAAACACTTGAGCTGACACTTCCCTTGTTAGGCCTATTTCCCATTATCCATTGACATCCCTTCCTTCCATTATGAAGAGCCTTATCTTGCATGACTGCAGTCTTCTGCCAAGTACCATCATTCAGACTCTAAAAAAAAAAAATAAAGTAGTGCTTTCCAGATAACTCTTCTAGGGGAGCACTCGTCTTCACAGGCCAAGATTCACTTCTAGGAGTTTATTACGGACTTAAGGGGAAACCAGATAAGATTGTGTATAAACAAAGGCTATTGTCCATCCCAGCATCATTTGTCAAACTGTTGGACACATTCCCGTAGTATCATGGGGCTTGTGGTTCTCTTTGAATTCAGTCTCCATCTCTGTGTCAGAGGCATATGCAGGCTTCAGTGATCATACGATGGCTTTGAGCTCACATGATCATGCATAACAGGATATGTGAGTATGACAATAACAGGTGCATGACCTGTTTGAACAGGTCAAATGGCACAAAGCCATAGAGGACAGGCCTATAATTGATAAAACTATCCGCCAAGAAGCAGATTCAGATTTAGAACTGAACTGTTTCTGCCTCAGGCTTGGCCAGTTTTCCATTTTCCTCTCAGGAGGCCAAAAGTATTTGGACTGGCCTTCAGCTGCTGGTTGGTTCAGTGTGTTTTTACTCGTAAAAGTAGATGTGAGATATCAAGTGTCAGACTGTTAATTAACTGATTTGAGGAGACTGTGATGGCAGCTTCTCTCTGTAGCTCTTAACCATAGTCATTTAACCTTCAGATTAGACTTTAACTACCAGGCTCAGATGGGACTTACCCTGAGTATAAGCAGTTATTTATGAAGAGAGTAAACAGAAATCAGTCATGCGATTCTTACATCTACAGCTTGCTTTTGGTTTTGGCAGTTCTAAGAGGTAATGGACAGTGTACTCTGCTAGCTTGCCAATTTTTGCAGTTTTTCAATATTTCCATTTTGCAGCATCCTGGTTTCTGGTTGCCTCTCGTTGCTTGTGCAGTCATTTTGTACCAAATGTTTCCACAAAAGTAAGTTAATACTTGTTTTCCAGTTCCAGATAAGCATGCACATTTTTCAACTCTTGTTCCCTTTTATTTAAAATGCCACTGCAGTCAGAGGGCCCCAATGTATTTCTGTGCTCTCTGTAAGCCATTAGTCAGTAAAACCAGCGTCAGCAAAGTTTAAGTTCCGCACTGGCCCACCCCAGCCCACACTGTCCTGCTCCGTCCTGTCCTGCTCAAGTCCTGTTATTCCAGGACACTGACTCTGCACTTTGCTGAGATAGGGGCTGATACATGTACAGCTTTGAGAGTGTAACAAATTTACATGAAGATACATGCAGATACAGATACACGAGATCATTTAATTATCCACACAAGGCACGATTTTACAGGAAGCAAACGTGCAAAAGTAACACAGTTTTAACCTCCCTGTTCACATGTTCAGTGCTAGCGACAGCCACCCTGTTTCCTCTTCTCTGTGGGAAGTTGAGGTTACGATGTGAGGGAAGGTCATAGGTCAGAAGGTGGGGCAGAAGAGGAAGACCTTCTGTCAGGAGTTGGAGCCAGACTTCCAATCACAGGACAGGTCTGATGTGGAATATTCCAGCCAACTCATCCTCACAGAGAGGATGGATTTTCCACTTTTTCAGGAGATAATCTGGGGCCCCCACGCCTGGAAAGGTCTTCTGTTTCAAAGAATTCCAGCTTGAGTTCATCTGAGCATTTTTTCCTACAAGCTCTGGGTGGAAAAATGTTAGGATAGATAGTTAAATGGAAAACCTGAGCCAAAATTCCAGCGTGATAACATACGCCATGAGCTATGAGAGGGAGGGAAAAATCTGCATGTTTGTTATCTTTGACCGTCACTGTTATTGTACTGTAATATCATGCATAGGATCTCCATGCATGAAGCCATTTTCTCATATTTCTTTGACTTGGTCTTTGTAGATTTTTCCTTTTCCTCCCCTGCGTGTGGTATAGGACCTCTGTTAGGGTTTGTGGTGTGTGTATGTGTTTCTGCCCTGAGTGTGGTTGTAGCAGGAATGTAAAAGCACGGTTTTCCTGGTCTTATGACCGGGTGCCTCTGAGCTCATGTTGAGAGTATCGGTTCAGTTTGGCTGCAAGGGCAGCAGAGTGAGAAGTAGTACTCTGAGCTGTGGGGTGTCTCAACAATCCCCTTCTTTGTCCTGAGCGGGCCACTGTGGGTTTATGCAAAACCAGTCATCTTCTTTCATGCTTTATAGTGCGTATGCCTGTCTGTGTTTGTGTGTGTGGGTGTCTTGGCTTGAATTCTGTTGGAGAGCGACACTTTCCTTTAAAGTTTAAACCTCAGTGCAACAGCTTAAATGAGTCCATTGTGTAGTGAATTATGTTGCAGTGGGAATGACTCAGGCCTACAATTTATAGCTTATCATGTATTGTCCCAGTGTTTCCCTTATTAAACATTCTTGCATCAATGCTGACCTCCTACAAGCAAAGCTCCCGCACTGTTTGGAAAATCTGACTCTGTTGTTATGTAATTTCACTGTTGTTGTAAAGGAAAAAACATCCAAACTACAATCAAGGTGTCAACCACCCTGCAACTTATCATTATTATACAAAAGATTCAATGACTAGTTAAAGTTTATGACTAGATAAACGATTGATAATTGGTTCCAGTTTTTAATGTGATGATTTGCCTTCTTTGTTCGTCTAATGTGTTTTTTTTTACACAACGTTCTGACATTTTACAGATGACATTCGTGGGCTAATTAATCAGTAATGACAGTAATTGTTAGTTGCAGCCACAGTGTGAACATAAAGGCCAAGCAGCTGATGTGCAGTATGGAGAAAGTGTCATTTTGTTTAGAAATGTACCTACTTTTATCAACTAATTTTAATGAAAACAGTTTTTAACTGCAAGGATTCTGAAAAGGGGATTGTACGTGCCACCTTAACCCTTTTTTTTTTTCTTCCATTTGCTGCTAATTTGTGTTGTATATCTCTTCCAGCAAAGATATTCCACATGTTAGTGCCTGAGAGTGAGGAGGCTGTTATCAAGCTCCAGAGAAATGTCTGTTTAATGCCAAGCTTATGTATAAACATTCTCACCAGACTGGTTTTCTGTGCTCTCTTCCTCTGTCTTGCTACCCCTATATGTCACGCTCTCAATACTGTGACTCTCTCTTAATACGCTCTCTCTTTTACTTTCTGTTTCTCACCTCTCTGCTTCTGTGTCTCTCATCTCTCTATTTTCTCTGCAGGTTCATGTGTGCTCAGATGCCTAACCCTGTCCTGGAGAGCATCAGTATCATCGATACTCCTGGAATTCTGTCAGGGGAGAAACAGAGGATAAGCAGAGGTCTGCTTCACATACATACACCCACACGTCACTCGTATTAGTAGTGTTTACCGCCACACCCTCTGCTCAAAACCTATGACATACATTATTCAAAAACACCCATGCAAAATAAACCCAAAGGAAGTCACAAGTTCAGATAAGAAAAAGGAAACTTGCTTTAACAGCCTACATACCGGCCTTCCTTTCCCTAAGTTTCTCACTAGTATTTTTGTTTGGCAAGTGCTCCACAAAATCAACTGTAGCATTTTTGCTCCAAGCGCTGTCAAACCTGTATTTAACTCTTTAAACCCCCAGGTCAAAGCCTAACCAAACAGCTGATGTAAATCTTACTGAGGCCTTCACAGCTTGACAGTTTGAAGGAGGTGGCACGCAGCACTTAAAAGTTCATTTCCTGCCTCTGTACCTGTGTTTTTTTTCCACATCCTTGCATCATTTTCTTTCTGTTTTAATATCACCCCTGAGCTGGATTTTTGCTTAAGATGTTGACATTATACTGATACCTGGAAATATGGCCTCTTTATTGCAATTTTTTAAATTTGCTTTACTACTTTTAAAAATTATACATACCCCGTTTTGCTTGACTAACACTGTATTATTTATCACTCTCATATCTGAGTCACTTCCTTTTGCGCTGCGGAAATAAATCAATTCATATTTTTATCCACGTGCTCCAACGATACTGTGACCTGCAGGGTCACTTCAAAATTGCTACATGCACAGTTTTCTTCAAACTTTTGATGATCCTACAGAACAGAGGCAAAAGATAACAGTGCAGCTGAACATAGCTTCTGCTTTTTCTACCTGATGCGAGCCTGTTTTAAGCGGAAGTGCACATACACGCAGTAGAGTTTTTGTGTACTCCAGGGAAAGGAAATGGAGTAAAATGGCAAACATAGCAGAGAGTTTCCCAAGACTTCCCCCCCCTCACCACCATCGCCACCGCTGACTGTATTGCGCAGCGCTGCTACACAATCCTCCAGCCTGTTCTTTATTATTTAGTCCCGTGAGACACAGGAAGACAGGAAAGAGGAAAACATTAAGAAGTAAAAAATTTGTCTGCAAGTAATTTGATATTTAATTAATAATTTAAGGCATTTTCAAGCCAAAGTGACAATTATCTGATTGTACAGTGGCTTTTCTGTGTGAGGGATTTTTCTTTTTCTTTTTAATCGGATGTATTTGAAAACTATAAATCAAGAATGAAACTAATCTGTCACTTCAGAGCCTAATAAGTAGAGCTAGGAGAGAAGGTAAGACAGACTGACGTCAAAGAAGCTGAAAAGGCCAAACAAGCGACTGTAAACATACGAGTGTAAATGATTGTCATCTGAAAATGAGCCAAAGGAATGAATGAAGAGACTGGAACAAGCTGAGGTGACCCTGTCTAAGGAGATGAGGAGCAGACTTAATTCTGACGCCTCACACCTCAGACAGTTTTGTTTCTATACATACATGCTTACACATTCTTACTCTCAAAGACACTTTTCCCTTTTCTGAAGCACACACACACAC